AAAGCCTAAGACACCTTACAGTCACATTTATATGAACAGATGGAAGTCTCAAAGCTAAGCTTTCCCATTTAAAAATTCATTAAACTGTAAATATTTGGAGGGATTCATCTCAGTTTGTTTTTTCCCCCTCAAAAAAAGCATTGTTTTAGGTAATTCAGATTTCTTACAGGCAGTCACCAACAGCACTGGCCACAAAGCTACAAAAGACAGAGCTGTGAGAGATCTAACCAGCCGTTAAGGAAAAGTGTCTGAGGGAGAGGTTGGGATTGGCAAGTAGACACAAGCCAGCTCGTACAGCAGCCACAACAGCACACATCGAAATGGAGGAACATTTACTTCTCTGCTTTCTAACATACACAGGGAGCACGTGAAGAGGAGAAAATGGGTTTTCTATCAAGTTTTAGCAAGTGAAGTGACGGCAAAACAGCAGAATCCTTGCCTTTGACATGGATAAAATAAATTACTATAGGAAGTTTCAATACAAATGCTCGTATTTACATCTAATAAAACGACTGGATTCCTGGTTTATCATTAAGCTTTGGTGATTTGGAAATACTAGTGACAAAAAGTACAACTGTCCAGCCTGGGAGTGTGCAGCAGCCCCTGGTAACCATTGATTCTGGTAAAGGCTGCCCAAGATGATGTATCTCCAGGCAGGGGACAGTGCCTCCCTGTAACCGCTGGCACCAGCCTCCTGCTACATGGTTCTCTGAATGACCTCACTCCAGGGTGACAACTGGAGGAGCTGCTACAGAAAGAGGAACACGTGAGTGCTCTGTGCACTACTTACTTTAAGGACTGTTAAGTGAAACCAGTGCCAGCAGGTTTTTTGGAGTGTTTTTTCATAAAAGCTTTTCAACCTCATAGATACCAAAGAGAAAACTCCTTGTAGCCACCTCTAAATCAGGGTATAAAAGGGGATTGACAGTATTCAACAGTAGTCTACATGTCATGAGAAAATGGAAGCAGATTAAGAAGGTAGGCAGGTAGCACAAAGCAGCTCTTGATTGTACAAAAGTAGCCATGGTACAAAACCAGCCACCACAAATGTCATGTTATAGATAGCATACCTTAAAGGCTTCACCACTGGAGGTGGGAGATGCTGTGAATTCCATCAGGGCACCTTTTATACTAAAAGCCCATGAAAAAAAGGCTTGTTCTGTGGGAGCTATACAGTTGAGGAGGTGCAGAAATGAAAAATAACCTGTTTGTTCTGTTACCCAAGAAACATGCAATTAAATTACATTCTAAGACAACACACTATGATCTAAGAATCGAGGTAACTGCTGCATTAATTACATGTCGTCTTTGCAACACGAAGCACAAAGGACATCGTCATGTAACAGAAAGCAGAGACTCTCTCAGGTGTAGGTTATGCACCATGATCTGCCTGGTATAGACAAAAACCATAAAAGCAGCCTCCTAAAACCTTGACTTTTAGCCAGATTTGATTATTTTCACTTGCTTTATTTTGGGACAGTGAGGAAGTTGAGTGTTTTAATGTTTTCAGGTTTTCCTTTCCTGTGAAGGTTACCTAGGAAAGTAGCTATGTATTCATAAATACAGAAAATCTCATCTGTCCACAGGACTCTGGGGCTAAAGGCCTTAAGAAAGGGATCAGCTATTATGAGAGGCCCAATAAAGTCAATACAGAGTACCCATCATCACCAATAGCTTTTCATCCAGGAGCAAAGTGGGTGAACTTCTCAAGTCCCTTTTACTTACACATTTCCACAAAACTGCCACTTGCAGAATCACAGCCAGGAAATGCCTTCACTTCAAGGAGCAGCAAAGGCAGCATAACATTCCCACATCAGCATAGAGGTAGCTTCTGGGTCCTGGTTCTCTGTTGGTTTCTTCAGGGCTAAAAGGTATTCCAGTCCTTGTTCAGCCACTGGGGATAAGCAGTGGAATCCAAGCCTTTCACAATTTCAGGGACAACTGCCTTTTAGAAACCATCAGTCTGAACTTTTCCAGTCACTTCTCAGCATAGCAAGTGTTACTGCAAGGTTGGAGACCAGAGGCTGAGGAAAAGCTTTGACATCAGACAGAAAATCCCAAGTGCTTTCTTCTGCCCCACATACACTGCATTGATTGGAGAGAGGCTAATGAACCATGTCTGCCTTTCAGCTCTAGCAAGATGATCAAATCCTTCAAGCAAACATTTCTGTCCCTGGATCTGCAGTCCCCTCGGTGGAGCTCAGCAGAGACAACGGTAACTGCTCAAGGCCAGGGGAACAGAGCTCTCAGCAGAGCTAAGATGGATGTGGGATTCTCAGTCTGATGGGCACAGAGGAGCTGGGAGGTGGTACTGTAGACAATGTTAACACCAAATTGCAGGAACACTTACTTAAAAGCTCTGAGGAGCTCAGCCTAAGGCAGAGCATCATGGTTTCACAAGGGAAGCATCAAATCATTTGATGGTGGGGGTGAGGCTGCCCGGTGCTATCCGTTTGCAACAATGCTTTCATGCTGATTGGAAAGAGTAGCTATTAATTTATGCCATCTGTAGTATTCATCTCACTGTTACTGTGACTTCACTACCTTTCAGGCAAAGGATTATGAAGTGCATCAGTACGAAACAGTGAAGTAGGTCAGCATGGTCATTAGGGGAGAAACCCAGAAGGAGGCGATGCGCCAGGGCTTCTGGAAACTCTTCCACTACATCCAAGGGAAGAATGAGAAAGGTACAATGTGCTGGCTGTGAACTGCAAGAGGCATAAATGGGAGATGAAGCTGATTATAAAACAGCAGATGAGCTGTGGGACACAGCAGGCTCCCTGTCCTGGTCTAACACCCTGGTGACTCCATGAGGCTCCTTTAATATCTGCTTTTAGGATGCCTGCAGCACATCCCTGCTTGGAGCTTTAAACAACTTTTTTCCCCTCTCCTCTAGAAATAAAGATCGATATGACTGTGCCAGAGACATGCCTGATAAAACCTGGCTGCACAGACTTCAAGATCTCTTTTTTTGTACCATTTGAACATCAGGACTCCCCACCACAGCCCACGGACTCAGATGTGTTTATTGAGGAGCGGAAGGCAGCATCAATCTTTGTCCGGTAAGCAGCAGCAGCACAGCTGAAGGCAGCTACTTACCTATTAACAGTCTGGGCTACTCTTTCTTATAGCTGATTTTTAACTCTGTATTTAATTGATTTTTAACTGATCAGAGCCTTGATATCTAAAGGCTCAAGTTCCATCAAACCTTCTTATGCCTGGGTGTCTAAGAACAAAGAGAAATGACCAAGCTTTGAAACACTGATTTTTTCCCACCACTCTTGAGCATTGCATTGAGGGAGTGTTGTAGAAATGCAGCCTACAGAATCCTCCTGTGCTACAGAACGTTTAAATCACTCTTCCATCCCCCTGAACTCCCACAAAACCTGCATGACAGTTCTTCATTACTGGGAAAAGTACCCCAATCTACATCAGTAAACAATTTAAATATTTTCTTTTTATTTTTTAAAGTGGTAGATGTAGTCTTACATTCCCAAACAGCTAGTTCTGTATAGTTTACCTACTAACTACAAATTGCATCAGAAGTGCTACAACACTGCATGCTTTGCAAGCCTAAATTTTCCTTCTGTGAAAAATAAAAAAAGCAGGAGCTTGAACTCTTAAAAAAAAAAAAACCTCCACCTTTTCACTTCCACCAGGTCCTTTAGTGGATTTGCCTCCCCAGAGAAATATGCTGAGGAAGCTGAAGTCTTGGCCAGAATCTTAAGAAACAGAGGCCAACCATTCCATCAAGACTTCTTCTATACTGCAGGCTACGACAGTCCCTTCAAGCTCTTCAACAGGCACAATGAAGTCTGGTATTTTAAGAAGTAATATTCAGGGGGGAAATACTAAGAGGCTACTAATCAGCTATGGATGAAAACAGGCCTTATTAATGGCTTTTGCTTTAGTGCAGAAGATATCTAACTGGCACATGGACACAGGATCATGTCTAAGTCACTTTCTCTAGGATGAAATACTATCCTGGGTAAAAAGATTTCAGCTCTTTCTAGAAGATGTCATTTAAATTCAAGTAGATTGTGCCAGCTGGAGTGGGAGGGAGATATGACAAACCTGTTCCTAGTATTGCAAGGTTCTAGGGAACATTTATAACCTGAAAGTATTCCTGCAGAACAGTTTGGATGTCTAGTTTTACTTCTTATTAGAAGTGCTACAGCAATAGCTCAAGTGTTATGGAGAATGAGTTCTTCATAGAGCTGACCTTTCCCATACTGGTATCACTCCTGAGACAACAGAAAGATGAAGGAAATTAAATGTATTTTTCAGGGAAGAAACCTACCATTAATGAGTTTTGGGAAGCAGCAATACCTTAGCAGGCCCTAGTGCCTTATAAGCAGTTAACTTTTTTATTAAAATAGTATTATCAAAAAATCTCCCATCTTTCCACTCAACTATTTTTCTCCCCTCATGAAGGCTGGACACTGTCTTGCTCCAGACTAATGCCAGTGACCAGACTACAGGTCCAGTGGAAAAGGGTTACCAGGGTCCAGGCTGTGTGCTCACTCTGTGTGCATCACCTGCAGGCCTGAACATGTAATACTACACAAGTAGTAGTTGTTAGTTTTTACCTACAATGCACTAATTACTACTCGATTATTTAGTTTTGTCCCAATCTTTGTATTGGGACAGGTCAACTTCAGTCTGCACATTAGCAATATCTGACACCTAAATTAAGACACTTGCAGGACTAGCATTTTAAAACTAGTTTAGTCCCTGCTCTAAATCAAGCATTTGAAACTTTTATGAAGTAGCCTACAGCCATTTTACACAAGCTGTTCAAATCAGAAAGCAGTTCACAACAACCAGTCGAGTTTACAAATTTTTATTGGTCCCAATCAGCATCAGGCAAACATTACCAGTGTGGTAAAAAAAGCCTTGGCTTTTTTAATGCTGTTCATGCAACTGTAACTCATTATTCTGCCATCTTCCACCTATGAAGACAGACATAAGAACCATTATAAGGCACCAAACCAGCACAAGCAGTTTGCTGGGAACAACTCAGACCTTAGATTTTCATCTCTGTTCAGAGAGAGAGTTCAAGCTAAGGTTATCATCATTTGTTCCAACAAATGAATTTCATTATTGCTACAGCTACACTCACCTTCTCAGTTCTTCACACAGTAGTTTCAAGACTGCCTCCTCACCTAAAGGAAGAAAACACAATTAACATACGCAGTGGCACAAATGCTAAAAGCTCCACAGCAGCTTTGTAACCTCAGAGAAAAGTGGAACGGAAATGGTAATATCACAGTAATTCATTTGGCAGAATCAAATTTCATCAGTGGCTACAAATATATCCCAGCAGTGTTTTTAAGCAGAATTCATCTGCTGTGTGATCTTACCCAATAAGGTTGCAGACAGTGCAGTCCTTTCCTGAGGAAGAGAGAAAGTTGTTTCAGAATAACAGCCATCACTACATGCAAGTTTAATTATCTATGAAATTCTATTCATCAAACCAATTTTACCTACAAGGAGCTTGTACTTCAGCAGGGAACTGAAAACAACTTCAATTGGCAGCACCCAAACAGCACATACAAAGCTTACAAATCCTAACTGGGCTGGAAATACAGAATTACTAACATTGGAATAATCAGGGAAAAGTACAAACCTGCTACTTGCTTTGTGATACTGTTTCTTGCCAACAAAAAGCTGTATTCAATGAGTTTTGATACCTGAATTACAAATCCCACAGAAATAATCCTGAAAACAGATCTTTAAAAGTGAGAACCAGTCTGTGTTAGGAAACTATTTTGTATAGCAATCAGCTAGAACTCGATCCTGAATTTGTGTACAGGCAACATAACCAAGATTAGCAAAAATCACTGACTAGTGACAACCACAGCATATAGGGTTGGTGTTTTGGTTTTGTTTTTCTTTTTAATTCAAGAATGCAGTGCTATAGTGTCAAAAAAAGAATAGCAAGATACATCAGGTATGAGTTATGACTGGAGTTGTTTGCTGATGTGCATTCTACTGTACTGCATGATCAACACTGTACTGGTTGAAGTGGTCTCCACGGATTCAGCTCCTTTACTATTTCCACTGTCTGAAGACACTAAGAAATAAACCCCCAGTTTTTAAGAGTCATTGAGGCCATGTCTTCTGTTCATGAAACAAGAACTCTTCAAGTTTACCACTGACTAGGGTTCAGGAATTGTCAGGGCATCTGCTCAGAAGGAACCCTTCCTTTTCAAGTCAAATTCAGAACTACACAGCAGTGCATTCTTGCTTCAAGCACATCATGTTTATTCCCACAGTAGCTGAGTAGGGAGTCAAACAGAAGACAAATCAGATCTATTATAGGACTAATTTTAGGCATTACTATCTAGGCATTCAAAATTAATACAATATCCAGTAATTATCAAACCCCATGTACTCTACACTTACCTCAGACATAAATTAGTCCCATTTCTCACACAAACTCCCCATGAGCTTCACTCTGTAATGAACAAAATTTCATTACCACTCTCTTCTTGGCAGTGCTTCAAGAGTTAGTTTGAATGCAGGTACTGTTTCAGTGCAAGAGTCCTCCTCAGTCTCTTTCAGAGAGATTCCCATTGCTTAGAATTAATCATCACAAACAGTACATGCTTAGAGAAGCTTCACGTTTTGCCACTTTTGTTTCTCCTCAGAGAAGGACCTGACCTCAGCATTTCAGACCTTACCCCCAAGCACATCTGCATTCACTTCATGTAAAAACTCTAACCATTAAGGCAAGTAATTTACCACATTACTTCAACTACTGAAGATCAGTGCTACTCCCTGCAAAAGCCCACTAATTTGAGCAGCAAAAAGTTAAAATAGCAATAAATTGTACTGGCTTTGCACTGCCAGGTTATCACACATTCTTTCTTATCAACTAGAAACTCTAGTAATCCGTAACAATTACGTATTTCAACTGGTCCATACTGTTTCTTTTCAATTACAGAAAGCAGTTAATATTTTCAAGTAGTAAAAAAATCATACAGCAACTGAGAAGCAGGCAGGTTACCTAGTAAGAAGCATCTGTCACAAAGTATCCAGCAGTTTTCCCATTCTCAAATCTAGGATACACACAAAAAATGAAATGTCAGTCCAATGCTGATGCTACTCTAGAGCCTCATTAAGACTTCTAGAAACTCCTTTGTTCATTACTTTTAAAATCATCAAATCTTATCACTGTCTTTGGCCACAAAGTATGAGATTCAGTCTTTGGTAAGTAAAGCCCACAGGCTGCTGCTAACCTGTGATCTACTGGTAGAGGGGTAAGAAAATCTTCAAGGAACCTTCTGCTTCATACTGCAGCTACACTGCAATTAGAGGCCAGCAGCTAGTAATGAGCTTCCCCATCACACAGTTCTGACCAGTCACAGGCATCTGCTGACAACTTACTTCTGCTGGTAGCACCACCAACTGCACTGCACCACTTCACAGCTCCACCACACACACCAGCCCTGGAACAAAGCAGAGTATCAGGACAGTGCAGAAGCAAGCACATGAGGATGAAATCCCATCAGGTGCCTGAAGTCAGATAGAGCTAATTGCAGACCTCCATGATTGAAGTCAAGGTAGTCACATCTCATCACACAGGCAGTTCACACTATCAGACAGCAATCTGCTTTAGGCTAAGGTTGCTGTGCAGAGGGCAGTACACAAATAGTGCCACCAGAGCCATTTCAGCAGCTCACAGGCACACAGGGAACACTTCAGCACAAACCAGCCTGTCAAGGCTGGGCTTTACCCAGCAGTTCTCCCCTTAAGCACCTTCCTGTTTTTGGCCAAGATGCACCACACCTCCCCCCAGCTTACATGCTGTTAAAATACTTCACTTCTAGGCATATTTTTTTAATATTTGCAAAGTTAAAACAAGTACTTACCTCATAATTGGAACTGGAAGCCTGCAAAGGAAGAGCTGCTATTAGATAGGGTCCAGCAGAAAGCTGAAGCATAAGCACAGTTCCAGTGAAATACTGTATCAGCGTTTAGTCAAGCTTTATCCTCATTGGGATCAGAGACCTGATTCAACATCATCTACAGTAGGCTGCAACACTCCCACCCCTTCCACAAGGCGGTGTAAAGCCATCTCCCAGCACTCACCAACCTCCCCAAGACACTGATTCAACCCCAGAGACTGCAGGAATTACAGAAAGGAGCAAACCTCAAAACTGCAGAGTTCACTGACATGAACATTGTGTCAACATCTAAGTTGGCACAAACTGGGAAAAGCACCTCAGCTACTAAATTCATAGTACTGCCACATTCACCATTCAGGCTC